ATTCCATCATCACCTAATGTGAAATCCATTTCGTTTCCTTGGCTGATTAACACCAATTTATCTAACAAAAGTAAATCCAACTTTTGACCTTCTTTAATTTCTTCTAGCAAATTGTTAGTTAATTTCAACATACCCAATTTTACTTTTTTTTCTCTTTAGTCCACCTACCATGATTAGATATCTAAATTGTTCAATTAAATCCATTTCCTTGACCATCAACACCGACATATGAAATGACTTTCTACTTATTTTATCTCACTCGTCTTATTCTAATTCTTTGCCTTTTGTCACTATGGAGGTTGGCTCTAAAATCAAAGTTCAAGACCTTGGTCAGGCACACCAACTTCCAAACATTTCTTTAGATTCTATGCTATATATTTCTGGTTTTAATTTTAATCTAATATTTTCTAAAAATATCACTCATATTATTGATTGTTCAGTTATGTTTATTGATAATTCCATTTATATCCATGATTGATCTACAAGATGGACGATTGGAATATGGTGTGAGCTTGAGGATTATATCATCTATCACCACCGCTTGCATGTGCTTCTATTGCTTTTCAAAGCCTTACACATCAAAGTTTGGGTCCACTAACCTTAATAAATTGTATGTTTTAGTTCCTAGTTTTTCTAAGCTTATGTCATTTGAGTGTCAGTCGTGTTAATTAGGAAAACATACTCATCACACCTATTGTCAACGAGTAAATTAAAGTGTTGTGTCACCTTTTGCTTTAGTTCACTATCATATTTGGGGTCCTAGCCGTGTCAAGTCAACTTTAGGATATTATTACTTTATAACCTTCATTGATGATTTTTCACGATGTAATTCGTTATTTTTGATGAAAAACCATTCAGATGTCTTCCATATATTCCAAGAATTTTATGCCGAAATTAAAAACCAATTTGACACTTCCATTAAAATTTTACGCATTGATAATGCTCGTGAATATATGTCATCCCAATTTCAATCTTTTTAACATCACAAGGGATTATTCATCAATCATCATGTGCTCACACACCACAACAAAATGGTGTCGTTGAACAAAGAACTATCATTTAGTTGAAACTGCACGAAATCTTTTACTTCACCATAATTTACCTTCTTGTTTTTTTGGGTGATTCTCTTCTCATAGCTTGTCACCTTATCAACCGAATGCCTTCATCGATCCTTCAAGATCAAATTCCATACTCTATCTTGAACTCACAATATCATCTCTGCCCCATTCCTCTCTGCATCTTTGATTGCACACACTTTGTTCATGACCTTAGTCCAAGTAAAGATAAAAGTTTTCCAAATCTATCAAATGTATTTTTATAGGCTACTTACATATACAAAAAGAACATTGTTGTTTTTTTCCCCAACTTCAACCATACATTATTTTCTCTGCTGTCACATTCTTTGAAACCTCACATTTTGTCTCTGCCTTTGTGTTACCCGATGAGAATGGTACTTTAGATGTTTGAGATATCCCTTCCATCATCCCCACACCCATTTCACCCCCTACACATCCATTGCAGGTCTACCAGCAATAGACACCCCGTCCATCGGAGGTAAGAGATGATATTGATACACCAACTGCTCGTCTAGTTACGTCACCTGAACTTGAACTTCCAATATAATTATGAAAAGTTATTCGGTCTCATCATCCTAATCATAAATATGTTAGTGTTTTATGTTATGACTGTTTTTATACTTCTTATGTCTCTTTTGCTTCTGCTCTAGATTCTGTTTCTATTCCTAAGTCTACAAGTGAAGTTATGACTGATCTCATTTGGCGTTAGGCGATGGTGGAAGAAATGTCTGCATTGCATTCAAATAACACTTGGAACATTGTTACTTTACCTCTAGAAAAAACTATAGTGGGATATCGATGGGTTTATACAGTGAAATTTTGACCAGATGGCCAAAAAAATCATTTCAAAGCATGTTTGGTAGCTAAAGGATACACACAAATATTTTATCTTGATTATGGTGACACTTTTTCTCTGATGGCCAAGATCAGTTCAGTACATCTCTTTCTCACAACAGTTGTCATCCATCATTGGTCGTTTCATCAGTTGGATATTAAAAGTTCCTTTTTACATGGAAAACTGGAAGAGGAAGTTTATATGGATCAACCTCCAATTTTTACTATTCTTGGAAATTCTAGACTTTTTTGTTTGCTTCGTCGTTCTCTTTATGGGCTGAAACAATCCCCACATGCTTGGTTTGGTTGCTTCAGCTCTGCCTTGATACAATTTGGTATGACTATATGTGAAGCATATAACTCTATTTTCTACCTTTATTCCTCCACCGGTTGATCTTGATGACACCGTTATCAATGAAGATTATACAAAGGGTATTCAGTGTCTCAAAACTCATATTTTCAAATAATTTCAAACAAAAGACTTGGATCTACTCAGGTACTTCTTAAACATGCTCAGTGAAAATGGTATGCTTGATTGTCGTCCTATTAATACTCCTATGGATCCCAAAGTCAAGCTTTTTTTGGGTAAAAGGGAGCCATTGAAAGACCCAGGAAGATATCAATGACTTGTGGGTAGAATCAAATATCTTACAGTCACTAGACCGAATATTATATTTGCAGTGCGCATTGTGAGCCAGTTTTTGAATGCTCCTTTTGATAATCATTGGGATGCAGTAACTCAAATTCTTAGACATATAAAAAATTCACCATGAAGATAACTATTATATGAAGATAAAGGTGATGCTAAAATCATTTATTATTCAGGTGAACACTGGTCCGAATCACCGTAGGATATGAGATCCATGTCTTGATATTGAGTTCTTATTGAAGATAATATGATCTCATGGAGAAGCAAGAAGCAAAATACAATTGCATTATCTAGTGATGAAGCTGAATATCATGTTATGGCAGCAACATCAAAGGAGCTTGCATAACTTAAAAATTTACTCTCGGAGTTTAGGTTAGGATATGTTCAGGGGTTCTCGAGTGAATTATCTATCAAAGACTCAATTCAAAATAGTAACATTCTATTTACAATGTTAATTTAAAATAATAATATAAACTATTACATTTATGTAATAATTATAATTCTAGTAGTATAAATATCCCATTTAATTTATAATTTTAGTAGCATATAAATACCCCATTTGATTTATGTAAAGATACACAATTTCTTTGAGAAATATAATATATCATGCAATTTTTTTTTTGTTAATTTGATTCAAATATCCAATTTTCTCAACAAAGAGATCAAAATTGCTGAATTGTGACTCATAGGGGTCAGAAATAAAATAAAAAACTATACATTAAAAAAAGAGAGACAGTTTCCATTTTGCTATAACCAGAAAGTATATATATTTGCAAGACAAATTCTTAATAACACTATTGTTTGACAACAACAAAAGGAAAAGTCTTCATAGAAGAGGTCAAAAAATAAAGATAATCACGAGCAAGAATGCAAGACAGACAAAGGTAGATTTTTACAACTGTCAATTAGGGATAGAGAGAGAGATCTAGAGAGAAAAAGGGTAGGAGGAGTTGTCACATGATTTGCAACAGTACAAAAAAGGGGACAGTAACATATCTGTATCCATTATGTAGGTTTTATTACAATTTAAACACAACAACTAGTTTAATGTTATAGCCTGTCCGAATATTGTTCATTCTAATCAATTTTCCTTTTTTTTTTTTCTTTTTTTTTAATTTTAATTTTAATTTTAATTTTCTCCTTTGGAACCATAAAAGTCTTTCTATATTATAATATCTTATTAAACTTATATGACTCTAACATTTCTTCTTCTGATCAAGTGTTGATATACCAAAAACACACTCTAAACAAGAACCAGCTTTCAACTTTACATGCCCCTCTCACTTTCCTTCATCCATTCATAACAATTTTCTGCTTCATCATCAGAGAATAATTTACTTGATCATTCTCTCAAGAATATTTCTTCTCTCTTATGTTTATGACCTTCGATATCCCGGCCTGGAAGGATCATCTTTGAATGGTTAGTATATTTAAGAAGAAATTAGCACAATCCAAATTTCTTTGGTTTTGTTTCTTGAGCAAGTTATTAATTAAACTATACTTACCTTCATGAGTTTCTTCACTTTCCACCATCTCTTTTTCTGATTGCTTAATTATAATCTTGAATAGTATCTTTTTCTTTTTGTGTAATGATCCATCTAATATTCATTTTCTTTGGTAACTTTAGATTTATTACTTATTCTACAGCTTATTGAGATTTTCCAAATCAATTTTCTAACCTTTTTTATATTTATAATTTACCAACTGATTAAAAATATGTTTTCTAACCTTGCTCATATATGTGATTATGTAACATTTCACTTCATCATATATATGATAGTACTTTTATTTTTTTGGTGATATGAAGGGAAAGAAGGATAATTAAGATTGAAGATACCAATGTATTCTGTCACAAATTTGTTCTTTTCCAACAAACCTATGAAAAGCCTGAATAAGGATAAAATTTGAAGAAAAGTTTATTAATTATAACACCCTGGTTTTATTTGCATATCTTTTATATACATACATAGTATAAATGAATATCTTCCTCCACCCTCACAGTTAATTCCTTTCTTTAGGTGTTACAGAGAAAGTACCTAACAGGTTCATTATGTAGATCTGAATCTGACATATCTGTCAGACATTTGATTCAAAGCTTCAAGGTTGAGTAGAGATGTTGGTTGCATTCTTTTTATTAAAATTCTTGGCTTTTTAACCTATATAGTACTATTACCCTACCATGAGTCTTTAAATATTATCATATCTCACTGTTACTTTCTTTCATTGTTACTGTCTCCTTTTATTACCATGCCATTCTAGCATTTCAGTCTATCTTTAAAGAGCTTTAAAGCTTAGTACTTTTTGTGTTGTAGAGATTTCTCCTACTCTACAGCCTGTTCTTCTCATCTTTTTTATTAAATTCTTGTTCATTTTGCCAACTTTTTGTTTCAGATTTGAATATTTGAAGTTGGAGAGCAAGAGGAAAAGTATAGTTAAAGAAAATGTCAGAGAAAAGTGGGAAGAGTACTACTGAGGAACATGCTGGTGGTGAGGATACTTCAATGGGATCTTCACAGCATAACTTTGATTTGAATGAAGAAGCTAGTAGTGATCAAGATGATACTAACAATATTGAGAATGATGAAGTAAATGTTGGTGATGATGAGGATGACGACGATGACGACGATGATGAGAAAGCAAAGGATGATGATGAAGGAACTTCGAGCTCAACAAAAGTTAGAAGTAGTGGTTCAAATGAAAGAAGAAATGGCGTAAGACAATATGTTAGATCAAAGATGCCTAGGCTGAGGTGGACTCCTGATCTTCATCATTCATTTGTGCATGCTGTTGAAAGGCTTGGAGGCCAAGAGAGTAAGTATATATAGATATATTGTATATATATATCTTGTTATATGAAAATATCATGCCCTAATAATACCTGAACATTGATACCACTGGAAAAAATGTGTATTTGTGTTAACACTCATGATTATATTTAATTTTATTTATTTTTTAAAATTATTATCGGTATTAGTGATAATATATCAGTGACTTGGTGTCGGTTTCTGGTGTCTGTCCTTCATAATTAAATAGGTTAAATTTGGTTGAAATGATGAATATTGGTGCATGCAGGAGCAACACCTAAGTTGGTGCTTCAACTAATGAATGTGAGAGGACTTAGCATTGCTCATGTCAAGAGTCATTTGCAGGTATAAAAGACAAAACATTTTAGGTGGATCATATATAAGAAAAAAACAAAACTCTACAACTATAATCTTATTGCCATTATATATGTTTTTCTTTCACATAAAATATTGAAATAAGATGAGGGAATAATTAAGAAACATATATGTATAAATCAATTAATTTATCTGCAGGTGATCCGTGTCCAACGGGGATAATGTTTTTTAGGTTTTTTTAATTTGATTTTTTGAAATTCTTGTGATAGTTTTACAAATTATTTTATATATTCAAATAATTTTGGTTGAAACTAATCAATAAAATTATACTACATAGTATTCCTTACCAAACATTGAATTGAGTATTTTTCTTTTAAAGTTTTGATGTATATAAATCATTTTATGGTTATGCGATTTTTATTTCAGATGTATCGGAGCAAGAAACTTGATGATGTCGGACAAGGTGAGATAGAACTATCCTAATTTAGTTAGGCCTTTATAAAAACGACAAAGAAAAATATTAAAAATAGAAGAAATATAATTGGTATTTCAACCCATTACAAAATTTTAAAAAAGTCAATAAATAAAATAACCATAATTTATCTTTGACAATACATAAACAAACAATTGCGAGATTGAATACACCATTTATTAAAAAGATAACATTCACATTTTCTTTATTGAGAAGCCATTTTAAAAAAGTATTTTCATTTTTCCTATTAACCACTTTTCATCTATACCAACAACCTAATATAAATGAAAAGTCCATGAAACATTTTTTGATTATTTAATTTTAGTTAAATAGTAGTTGTGTAAATTGTATTATGCTCAAAAGCAAAACAGTAGTACAAGAGCTTATAGGTTTAGGGTTAGGGTTACTTTAATTTACTCATTGGTTTTGGTTTTGACAATTAACTCATACTATTCACTTTGCACTTTGCAGTACTAAGTCCAACACAAAGATTAACACATGATTTAGGTCATGTAGCTCATCACTCCATGATGCCTCATCAACATTTCAAGATGGCAAATGGTGGAATTGTTCTAGAAACCAATTACAACCAACACAATTATAATTTCCACACTCTCTTGCATTCACATTCAAAAGCCATCAATTCCAGGTAACCAATCATGCATACATACACTGTAATTACAAGTGTCGTTAACATTGATGCAGACTGACACGTTTTTTTTAGAGGTATCGGTGCTACATAGATTATAACTCACATTTTCAATACCTTTTACCATAGGAACCAACAATGGTACTTAAATCATCGATCATTGAGACCAACCTATATTAGCAATGAAGTTCTCTCTTCAACCGCTTTACAATCGCAACATGGAAGATCATCGATAGCTTCAAACCAGCCGATTACTCAAGTTATGGATACTAGTTTGAATACCACACTTGCTCCAATGAGACCAAGCCAATTTCTTGAAGAGAAAAGGTGGCCTCCATTAGATATCATGAACACTAATCAATATTGGAAGAAAAATTTACATACCAATCTTTCTAGTTTTGGCTCCACTACAACAACATCACTTAGACCAGCTGAAAATCTGTTAAAAATCAATGAGTACCATAGCTCTTTCAATACTTCATCAAAGCTTGAATTTGATTCTCCATTCAGGATTAAGGTAACACTAACTAACTATATTAATGTGGATTAAATCTTATTTATTTTTCTTTAACATTCATAGAGTTTTTTTTTCTCAATGCAGATGAATCAAGAAACATTGCAAAGAGAGAAAAAATGGTTACCTGATTTGCAACTGAGTTTAAGTCAAACAAATTGCAACAATGATGATAAGAGTGATGGTTTGAGAGAAAACAAAGAAATCAACACAAAACTTTCACTTTCTTAGAATAATTCATTTATTCATGTCAATTATAATATGCAAATTAAATACAACAACCTAGCTAGCTAGTTGATCATAAAGTTGTGAGAGATGATATTGATACTAAAAGAAAGTTACACAATTGCATTGATGATGGTACAATACCAATTGTTGTCTTGCCAATACATACTAGTACTATTTAATTGATTAGGAGGATGAGCTTATTCACAATATTCATTTTTCAAAGCATTAATCATTTTGGTAAGCAAAATAAATTAATAGGATTATAAGTGCTGGAGAGCTTGATTGATTTTATAGTTTACCTAATTCTTACAAACAATTTGTTGGTGCAGTGATGTTTTTTTATGAATTTTATCCTCTATGGGTGTTCAAGTCTTGCCTAAAACATTTTTAAAAACCATGTACAGAAAATTTTAAACCTTAATTTGAACTCATAAGTTTCAAAACATGACATCAGCCTCACCTCATAATTTATACAATTTTACGTATCATATACAAAAGAATTATATATAATGTTCTATTTGATAAAAATAACTAATAGCTAATAAACTAATCGGTAGTTTATAGTTTTTTTAATAGTAAAGAAGATCAATATATTAATTAGTAAGAAAAAGAAAAAAAAATTATAAAAAAACTCTAAACCCAAATCTTAAACCACGAACTAAATGACCCAACCAGAAAGTTACAAAACCCTACCTAATTGATCTTCGTAAAAACTAATGGTGATTCACCATTGTTGATAAACAAGTATAAAAAAGAAGAATATGAAGCAAAAGATTTAGTTACAATTTGAGCCTAAAGTTAGAAGATTTTATTACTCACAAAATCTAATTATTACAAAGGGATGAATCTACTTATATGAGTCAAATGCCAACTAGTAGTAACAGATGAAAGCTAACTAATAACAGAAAACAATTATGACAGTTATTATTTAGGAATCAAGTAATTGAATGCAAGTTATTCATAATTGATTTTCTTTATCTTTCACACCCCCCTCAAATTAGAGAAGATGTTAATCATTCCTAGCTTGACTTGTAGAGTATTAAATGGATCTAAATGAAGAGGTTTTGTTAGAATATCTGACACTTGCTCTTTTGATGGAATAGGAAGCAAATGTATGTGTCCTAACTGTACTTTGCCTCTAATCACATGGCAATCTATCTCTATATGTTTAGTCTTTTCGTGAAATACAGGATTTGTAGCTATATGTAATGCAAATTTTTTGTCACAATAGATGATGGTAAGTGATGAATATGATATGTAAAAGTCTTGCAGCAAGTACATTAACCATTTTCCTTCAGAAGTAGTGTGAGCTAAAACTCTATACTCAGCATCTGAAGAGGATCTAGCGACCATGGTTTTCTTTTTTACTTTTCCAATTGATTAAGGACTTGTCAAGAAAAAAACAAAAACCTGTAGTTGATCTTCTAGTGTCGGGACAAACACCCCGGTATGAATTTTAGAATCCTTTGAGATTAAGAGGTGAATTGGAGCTATAAAAAATAAGCCTGGTATAAGGAATTATTTGAGATATTTAAGGACATGTAGGCCTGCTAGTATATGCTCAGTGGTAGGTGGGTCAAAGAATTGGCTTAACTTGCTGATAGTGTATGCAATATCAGTTCTAGTCTGAGTGAGATACAATAGCCTTCCATTAACCCTTCTATCTGTTGTAGGGTCAGATATAGCTTCACCAAAAAATTTATGTAGTTGCAATTGCGGTTGCATGGGTGTGTTGTGATCGCGACTTTCTGAGTCTAACGGAACTAACTGCAAGTGCACAGTCTATCGCGTAGTAATAAAGATATCGATCCCACAGAGACTCGTAATCAAACTAGTGCTATCGGGTGTTACTATGTTTAGCTAAGGCGAAAGATATTTTTAAGAAAGCAAATGCAAAATTAAAGGCTAGTAAAGGAAATAATTTATAAGTTTTAAAGAATACTAATAAAGGATATCGGTATGCAATGCTTTAGTTTTCGGGGATTCGACAGGTCATTGGTGCTTTTTAGTTTTTGCAAATGGTTTTCAGGAGAAAATACTCGTTTAAAGACCTTTGTCTCACAATGGTTGTTGACTCTGGTCATAATTCTAAGGCGGAATGTACGCTCTTGCTGTCCCGTTCGGGGTGAAAATTACTTTTTAAAAATAAATAAATTTTGATTTCTTTTAAAGTGTTTTCGCTGTGTTTAAAATCAATACCTAGTTTTTACTATCTAGTTCAAACCCCACGCTTTCACGTGCCGGCTCGAACCTTGATAAGTTTCCCACTCTCATGGCAAAACCGTTGTAAATAGCTTCTCACTGTCGTGACAAAGGTTTATTTAGAAAATTAGATTAAAAACCAAGGCCAGAAAATTGTTTGTAAAAAGGTGAGGCGCACCGGGTAATATCGAATCCCGTCCTACTAACTCGATTACATACCGATAATAGCGGTTTAGCTAGACATGATACTTAATGGAAACGTAAATAAACAGTGGCAGCAAAACAATATAACATGCATTCTGACAGAAATAAAATAATAATTCAATTTATAAAAACCTGCAAATCGTATTGGTCTCGAATCCTTGAATAGTCCTCCACAATGTCGGCAGGATTCTACTTTCGCGAGAAATAAAGGTACGGAATGAATATGGCAGTACTATGAATTAAAGGGAAACGAAAAGGAAATAATGCAAGAATGTAAAATTGCCTTCAGTAGAAATTTTGGCAGCACTTTGATACATCAAATGCAGCTTCCCTTTTTTGGTCCAACTGTCTTCTTTTTATAGTTGACGATCCATGAGGAAATGTCGGAGGAAAAGGAGTTGAGGGGGGAAATCTCAGGGTAGTCATGCCTAGATTTTCTCTGTTGCGTGTGCACGTTTTGTTTTGGAAGTTATTCTGATATTTGGTTCATGACAGTCGTGGCCCTCTTGTGACGAGCGTGTTGAACGTGACGACCGTGTTGCTCTTGTGACATCCGTGTTGGTCGTGACGACCGTGGTGGAGCTGTGACGACCGTCACACTCCCAAAATATGCTTTTATGTTCTTTTCTGGTTTCTTTCCCCCTTTTTGTCTTCTTCTTGTGTGCTTTCTATGTCTTTCTCATTTTAATCATGAGTGTGAGGTACCAGCAAAAAACACTTAACAAACTCACAGAATAATCTGGATTCGGGTGGAAACCATACAGTTAAGATATAACACACGGGGGTTATGATGTACATTTTCGCGTTATCATATTGCAGAATTTTGCACCAAGTAAGCCTTCATCTTTGATTGGATCCAAAAGGTATTTCCTTTGACATAGAGAAATTTCAGCTTGTGTTCTTGCTACTTCAAATCCCAAAAACTGTTTAAATACACTGTTTGATGCCAAATTTCACTTATTTGATCTATCAAATGTTGGCATTTTTCACTCATTTTTGTCATGAAAGAGTTGCAAATCACTCTTGTTTTGTTTGGTTTGCAATATATTGTGAAAATCTCTTGGTACCTTTGATTTGTGTGTTATTGTGCAGGAATTATGCACAAAACAAGTGAAAAGCAAGACACAAGAAATGGGCAAGAAACCAAGACAACATGCAAAACCACCAAAATGCTGTCATGCTCGCTAGGCGAGCAGTTAGCTAACATGTAGCGAATCACTCGCTAGCTTGCTTGCTAGGCGAACAGGTAACGAATAACTCGCTAGCTTACTCGCTAGGCGAATAGGTAGCGAACGAGCCCAGAATTGGACAGATCTGAAAGTACCAAAAGATAGTTGTTCGCTAGCTGTTCGCTAGGCGAACGTGACAGATCCTGAATGTATATTTAAGTGTTTTTCTTGCATTTTTAGGTCATAACTTGTATTTTTTCCATTCTAGACATCAGAACTTATTTTTTTTCATTTCTTCTAGAGAGAGAAACTCAAAACCCTAAGAGGGAGGAGGTAAGATCTTCGATCTCTTGTTGGGGTTTGGATTGTAATCTTTGGATACCTTATGTATTTCATCTAATATATGTTTGTGCACTTATTTTGGATTCTCTATTGATTGAGCATCTTTGATTATGTATTTGTGGGTCTTGACAAAACCTTTTCACATCTCTGATCTCAGATTTTCTTCTATCAATGAACAAACTTTTGACATGGTTTTGAAGTTGATATTCATTTTATCCTCTCTGGTGTTGTGTTGATTAAGTAGCATGGGTAGCATGGGTAGGATCAATATGATATTGTGTGGGTATGTGATAATAGTGATGAAGAATGATGTTCACCGACATTTGGCGGATTAGATGAATACATGTAAAAAAGGGTTAAACGTGTGTACGTATTTTGATCATTGTATTTTATGCAAAACAATTGTTTATCTGATATGGGTTTCATTCTTGTTTATCTGTTAATATTTGATTTGAATCGTGATAGAGATATACTTTTCGGATCTGGATCTAGGATGATTGTCGGTTAGGTCCTAAACGCTAGAGATAGATTTAGGCTTAGCATTTGCGTGAGTATCAGATCTTAATGCTCTGTGTTGTGTTTTTGTTGGGTGAGAGATCACCAATGAGACAACATGGTTTTTCTCTCGACGCCGTGTTAGAGATAAGCTTTGTCATGAGTGATACGTGATGATATTAGATGAATGAGTGCGTTGTGTTTAATTTGATCAGAAGAATGCATATGTTATCAATTGATGAAATCCAATCCCAACAAGGCTCCGTTTGTATTTCAGTCTTTATTTTATATTTTATGTTTTTATCTATGGTTCTTTGAACCTTTTAAACCAAACCTTTTGAAATTAAGCTTAGAAATGTAGAAATCGTTGAACGGCGTTCATATTGCACTAATCCCTGTGGAGACGACAAAACTGGGTACTTGATATTATTTTTGCTTGTTGCTTTACCGCATCAACAAAATGGCGCCGTTGCCAGGGATTGGTGTTGAGATTTTGAAGTGCATTGTAACGGCTCTATGTTTTTAAGCTTTGTATATTTTGTATGTATTTGTTTCTTTTTATGTTTTTTTTCTAGTGTGTTCAGGAATGAC